AGTGTTTTGCTCATTTTTCTATTGGGTTGTCTGCCTTTTCCTTATTGACTTCATGAGTTCTTTATTCTGGATAGGAATGCGTTGTCAGGTATGTGTGTAAATATTTTTTTCTCATACTGAGGTTTGCCTTTTATTATTATAATGGGGTCTTTTGATGTACATAGTTCCCAATTTTAATGTAAATTTCAAATTTATACTTAATGTAAATGTACATAAGTGTAAATTTAATGCAAATTGTAAAGTCCAATTTACCAATTTTTTTTCTTTTATGGTTCATCTTTTTTGGGTCTTAAGATCAAAACCAAAGTCACATATATATTCCCCTATGTTACTGTCCAGAAACTTTATCATTTACCCTTTCACTTTTGTCACCCAGGCTGGAGTGCAGTGGCACAATCGCAGATCATAGACTGCTGGCCTCAAGCAATCCTCCCACCTCAGCCTCCTGAGTTGCCACTGTAGCCCGAGCCACTGTGCCCAGCCCCTTTAACATGTAGATCTACCGTCTACCTGAAACTGATTTTGGGGTAAGTGTGGTATGTAGGGGTATTCATTTTTTCCCACGGGGATATTCAATTGACTGTCTAAAGAATACCCTTTCCTCACTGCACTGCACATCACCACCTTTGTCATAAATTAAATACCTGCGGATTTGTTCCTAGACTCCATTCCACTAGTCATTTGTTTCAGAGCCATGTATTTCTTTATAATATATAATAATAAATACAACAGTAGCAATAATTATTATAAAGATAATAGAATTAAAGTTATTTTTTAAAGCCCACAGGTTGCTTTGTCTACTGCTACTTCTAGCACACTCAGCAATGCGAAAGTGTCTTAATACAGTTGCCAGTGAGACTAATCTGAGTCTCGCTTTCAGAATTAAATATTAATGGGATTAACTTCGACGATGACTACTACTGTATAGCTAACACTTAACACCGCGTTTACTATTTGCTAGGCACTCTTTTAAGCACTGTACACACAATAACTGAATCTTCCCAATAACTCTATGAGGGAGGTACCATTAATCCCCTTTACAGATGAGTAAAGTTAATCACGATGCACCCAAATCATCCAGCTAGTTAAGCGTTCAACCAGGACATGAACACAGGCTAGTCTGGCTCTGGAGTCTGTACTCTCAACCACTATCATCGGTGCCTCTCTCACGGGCACTGGGGCAGTGCATTTTCTTGCAGACGACATGTAGCCAGGAACAGGGAGTGTGAGCACCCGTCTCCTAGCCCTGGGACCATCAATCGTTCCAGAGCATCAGGGCTCTGGAAGACCCCCTCTTGCTCCTCTTCCATTCGCTCTCTCTTTGGGGTACTGAAGTATTCATTTGAAGGCAGGTTGGAAAACTTAGCTTGGTTAAATGCTTCCCACACGTGATGGAGATAAGGCTTGATGTAAAAACCTTTAATGATGTGACTCCTATTTTCCTCTTCAACCTCAACTCCCTCTCAGACCCTCAAATATACTGTTCTGTGTTCTTTTATGTGACAATCAGGTGCGGGCACAAGAGCAAACATGAACAAACAGTTAATTATACTCACAAATCCTAGAAACAGGAGGCACAGCATACCGTGCACAGCCACATGGGAAAGCACCAGTGAGGCACAAGGGGCAGGAGCAAGGGGCAGGGCCTAGGCCTTCGCTGGCATTTCTGAGGACAAGGCAAGGCAGGGAAGGGTACACAGTTTGGGACTGGCTAGTTCGAATAATTTCAGCATGCTGTACACTATAGGGGTTGTCTCTAGCTGCCTGTTACCTGGCCCTGGGATGATTAAGGCAGAGGAATGTTGCCTCCTAGAGTGTAAGGGCCAGGGAGCAGAGGTGTGGCTCCGGATTGATTCATCTGCATATCAAAGGCATGCTCCCACCTTTGTATCTCTGAGAATTGGCTATTCCCAGAAGGGGTAACCACTCACCAGCCAGGGAGTTTTCTTTAAGATGCCGGAGCATCATAATATACAGAAAATTTTAAAAATATAAACAGTACATGTACTCTGTGTTCAAACTACCTGTAGTGCCCCAAACTGCTATGTGCTCCTTCATCTCTGAGCATATACTGTTCCTTGCTTTGTTTGCATTTGTCTTTTTGTTTATCTTTAAATCTTAGATCAAATACCACCTCTCTGAGGTCAAATCCCTAAAGACCCGGATGCAGACTTAAGAGCTTTTCTTATGTCAAACTCTGGTGACTGTAGCACTTTTCATATTGCTGTAATTATTGGTTAATATACCTGCCTGTTTCTTCCACTAATTGTAAGACCCTCCTGAGGGGTTGGGGTGTGGAAACAGGTAGAAACATTGTTGGAATGAATGAATGAATCAATGAAGGAGCAACCGAAAAAAACCCTCCCTTCCAGAGACAACATTCCACTCTTCTTTTTCTCCACACTGTATCATAAACTCTGTCTCCCACATGGGGTGATGAAAGCTCCTTCTTTGTCTCCCTGTACAACATATGTTTGTTACCTCTAGCTGGGCCCCTTCCTGGCTAGGCTAGGGTGGCTGAAGAAGAAGGAAGGCTCAGAATTTTCGTTGGTCACTTACTGAGATCAGTAATCAGAGTTTTAATATCATGGAATTAATTTATTATCAAGATAGAAAATATATTTTGAGGTAGATATTTTAAACCAAAAGTTATAAAAATTCCAGTGTTCATAGTTTATTCAATGTTATAAGCATCTTTAAAAATTAATCCTTATAATACCTCAAGTGGTAAGCAAAGGGTATTATTACCATTGCAGAGATTAAGAATGAAGCTCAAAGATGCCAAATGACTTGGTTCAAGGTACCAAAACTCATAAGTGAGAGGGGCAAAATTCTCATTTGAATCCAGGGCATCTGTTACTAAATCTGAAGCATTTTCCATTAAGCCACACTGGTCCCTGTACCTCGACTTAACATTTATTTCCCCTCAACTTATATTGGTCAGTATCTATAGACAACAAAAAGGATACATGCTTCATACCTGCAAGCACTGAGTTAATGATCATTTTGAAAGCTCCTCAATGTAGGTAACCAGCAGAGCCTTCTCAAAAGAAAGTTAGTTGGGACAGCAGTGCTAGAGAACAAGCATTTATAAATCTCTCATAACAGAGGCACTGGTCTGTAGAGTATTTTAGGGGTCTGTATATTTCTAAGGAGGATACAAAGTACACAACAGCTTATAAAGAACCTCTCTAGTTTTTGTTTCATTATGAAATGATAAAAAAAAAACCATATGAAATGTTTCTAGGTAATCAGTAAAATCAGCAATGTAAGATGCAAAGTACGGTGACTTGATACTACAGGAATAGAAAAAAGATAATGGATTTAGTGTAGAATTATGCACATGACCATAAAATTTAAATTGTGGCAATGTGTACAAAGGAACCAACAGTATACGAAAATATGAACATATTTTTTATATTATGTTTTAGGTTAGATAACCAAAATAAAAATACTGTACAAAACTAATTTAGAATGAATTTTTAAATGCTTTCTCTGTTTTCATTTATCAGCAAGTGAGCCAACTGATCCTGTATTTTGAAATTTACCATTTAAAATCATTTGTACTAATATTAAATTCTCATATGTGGGGTGACGGCTATCATTCGTTCATATGCTTCTGAGTGGGTGATTTTAAAAATCCATGCCAGGACATTTACTTGTCTCTGCAGCTTGTATAGAGGTATTCCTGTACTGTGACCCTTCAGAAACTGGAGTTTCAAAGACTTGACTTATTAGCCTCCCTCTTTCTCCTCAGTCATCCTCCAGATTCAGGGAAATTATGAAAGACTCAACTTTGGCAATGGCTGAAATAGTGCTATCTTCCCAAATCCCAGTTCATGAGATACACATAAATCAAATAGAAAACAGAAATATCAAATGTTTTATTATAGAGTTTCGATTGAGAAATATAAACGGTATTTACACAGCAGTGCATTTTAAGTATTTATACATCATTAACATAGAAAGTAGTAAAAAATGTTGGATTGCTTGAACTATGAGGGCTTTCAAGTATATGGTATACAATGAAAAGGATTATTAAAGAGTATGTTGACAAAAAAAATTATATCATGGAAAACTATTAGCTATATGGCTCAGAATTATATTTTAGATCCTTATTTTTTCATATTAAAAAAATAAAAGCCTACTGACTTATGAAGCATAAGTTTGCTTTCAATAAATCACCTTGTCAATATAACATGATAAATTTACAGTTTGTTTTTTATTTAAAATCTTTAAACATAATTGAAGAGCAAAACTTTAGAGGAGTACTGTTAGTAATTAAGAATGTACAAAAAATTATACTGGGAAAAATGTCACATATAATACCTTAACAAATGTAAACCCCATTAGAGATATAAACACATTTCATGGAAAGAGTATAGTGACCTACCAATGCAAGTATACAACAAAGGAATGAATAGGTACCATTTCATGAGATGCACATTACTCAAAGTGAATTAATACATTGCCAAACAGGGTGAGCAATTATAATGAGGCAAACTGAGTCAGTACTAATAGTATATAAAATTTCTAAGTACATTTGAAAATATCTTTCAACATTTATTTAACCATAAATATGGAAAACTTCATGAAAACACCAAACTGAACTAGTCTTGAACTTGGAATCAAATAATTTGTCAATGTGAGAAAAGGCAGGCAGATCCCAGCTTATAAAATGATCCACAGAGACAAATTATGAGGACTGTTTTGATTATCATTTAAAAGTGTCATGTTGGAAACATTTAGATATTTTTTTGCTTCATTGTCAGTGCTAATTTATTATTTGGTGAATTAAATACCACACATAATAGGAAAATAACATTTCCCATTATAGCACATTATATATTTGCAAGTTATAAAAATAAATCTTTCTGCAGATAAAAAGAAAAAACAGAATAATTTGTATTACAAGTTTTTAAAAATATGGCGAACCCACCTGACATCATGACATTTTTTTGCCATGATTATACTGAGTCTTTTGGAATCTATTCAATAAATTAAATCAGAAATCTTTGATCCACCAATGTCTTGGATGCCAAATTCTTTTGTCCTGCTGTATTACGGATAAATCGAAAAATCTGGAAAATTAAAATAATTCAGAATGAAAATATATATTTAAAAAATTAAATATGCACACCATTAAAATATCTAAATCAGCTAATTCTCTCAACTATTTATTTTCATAAAGCAGACAACTGAATTCCATGGTGATCACAAAATTATTTCAAGACTATTATCATCTTCTATAATATCAAAGCAGTATATGTTCCTATTCAGAGTATATCTTTATGAATTAATAATACAAACCCTTTCATGTTCACAGGAATATGCTCTTAAACATTTAGAAAGGCAATTTTATTCTAATGCTAAAAGCTATGGAAACATCAAAAGAATCTTACTTGTTAGGGAGTGAATTTGTTCATAATTCTAGACTAATAAATCAAGGACTAATAAATTACATCTTACTGACTCAGAATATACTTCCTTGACATAGTGGAGAATATTCAGGTGATATTAATAACACCATTTTAAGAAGAACAGATTTGCCATTTCCTGAAATCTCTATTTTAGGCTCCACACTTATCCATGCAGTTGTTTTTTATCTACACAAGCAGGGGAGGTGTGAGTGTTTTAAGCTAAAGGAGCTTTTTGGTTCTGAGCCCTGAGCTAGCTCTCCAGTGCTTGCTTTTTTGTTACATTAACATCTGGTGGTGAAAGTGAACAGGACTCTAATTACTGCTCACTTTTAGGATCTAGTAGATTGGCAGTTAAGTGTCTTCCTAGCAGATTCCTCTCATGTTTTCTCAAGCAACTTATGCCCTCAACTAGATCTCAGTATTTCACTGACCCTAAAGGACAGAGTATAGAATGTGGTTGGTTGAAATATTATTTTTTCTTCTGGTAGGGTTAGTTATATTCTAAACCTTTACAAATTCCAAGTGACAGTAGACATTGTTACTCTCTGCTATGAAAATAATTATCTACTTTCTACATACTTCTTTTAAAAGAAACCCAGAAAAATTTAAAAAATTTACCTCTTGCTGTAAGTATGTAAGGAAGGCTGCTAAAACAAAATTTTGGCAAGCCAAATCCACAACACAGAAGAACAGCAGATCAAAAATAAGAAGAGTGGCTTCGTTTCCATAATATAGAACACTGCTGAAAGAATAACTTTCATCTATTAAAAAAAATTATGACATTTAAATTAGAAACTTAAAAATAGAACAAATCTGTGATAAATTTGGTGATAAAATTTATATATTTAAAAACAGCATATGAGAAACTACTACTCCCTATAATACTTCAGGGCTTATAGAAAAATAAACAAAAAGTATTAAGATTTGCTAAGCTAGAAAAGGTTAGTCAAAGAACTCATAAAATCTCACAAAAAGCAGTTTTATCATTAGGATCAAGGGTTAGTAATTGGTGGTAGTGTAAGTTTATAGTTCATACCTTTCAAAGAACTATTAATCAATATCCTTTCTCTATTTCTTTACATAACTAAGGCTAAATTAATCTTAGAAAGATTAAGTTAAAAAAAAAAACAGCAAGGCATAGAATAGTACATAGTATTCTAGAATTTCTGTTTCAAATAGTCCTCTAAGGTTTTGCTCTAAGACCTCTGCTCACTTTACAAGTGGGTTTTATCCTTTTTGGGATGTGAATGCCCTTTAAAAAAGATTCTAATGAAAGCTGTAGACCCTTTCACCAGGAAAAAAAAAAAGTACACATATACAAATCTTGCAAACAATTTCAGAGTGGTCCAGAGAGCCACTGAAGCCATCCATGGACCATCAGTTAGGAACCTCTGTTTTACATAAGGGGGCATCTGGAGTGCTGGCAATAATGTTCTCTCTTGACAAGGGTGCTAGTTACAATGGCATATTCAGTTTGTGAAAATCACTGACCTGTAAGTTATATCCTTACAAATTATGTACTTCTGTATGTATATCATACTTGTATATACAATTTAAAAAATAAACAAACCTGTTTTACATGGTCTTCCTGGGTGATCTTCCACTAACATTGCTCCAGCAACGACTTCATATGGTGACTCCCCAACTTACTGTGTGCCCTGACCTTCTCCTAAGATTTAGTCCTAGATGTCCCAAAGATAACTCAAGATACAACATATTCAAAACTAAATACATCCCCTCTCCCTCAAACCCTAGTCCTCCATCTGTATTCTGTGTCTCAGTAAAAAGCATTACCACCAACCACTTAGTTATACAAGCCAGAAGTCTGGATAATTTTTGACCACTCTTTCTCTCCTACCTCTTTTTTTCCTTTACCATCTTTGGCAATTCTTTCTTATTTATCCCCATTGCTACTGTCTAAGCTTATAGTCTCATCATCTCCTGATGAAGATGAAGATAGATAAATGCAAGAACATAGAAGTAGGAGGAAGACAGAAAAAGGAGGAACATTGGAGGGGAAGGAAGAACAAAGGAAAAAGGAGGAAGAAGAAAGAGAGGATGATTGCATTATTAGAAATAGCAAGAATCTCCCTTTACTGGATGCTTATCCATAACAGGTACTGTACGAGGTTCTTTATACATGGTAATTCTGCAAAACCTTTAGAGGGTGATACACAATTTTACAGAGAGGGCATTAAAATTTAGAAAGGTTAAGCAACTTTCTCAACTTCACAAAGCTAGTAAATGGTAGAATGAAGTTTTTTAATTGAAGACCAGAAGACTTTGAAAGCTATAATCATGAGGACTAAACTATATTGCTATAATCTTGCATCTCTTAAACTCAACCTGTACCCTACTGCCACAGTAATTCTTCTAATTTACAAATCAGATCTGCTTAGCACTTTTCAATGATATTCACATTAATTAGCAGTGGTTTCCAAATTGTTTTGATAATGTATCCCTATCAGAATAAAATGCTGAGCATGCAATGCCTGAATAGATACATTTTATTAATTACTCTATATGAATTTTTAAAAATGTAGGTTAAGAATGATGATATAGCAAATATATAAATAGACACTTTACTATTTTTTTCTCATACCTTCATGGATCAACTTACATAATCTTATGGGACGAAAATTATTTTTAATTATTTTTTGGAAACGACTGGTCTATAGAATAAAGTAAAACTCCTTAGGGTGTAAGACAAAGCCCTTGAATTTTGTTTCTGCTCTCTTTATCTTTTAAGCACTCCCTCTCACTCTGTGTCCCACTTCATACTAGACTTCAATCATGAAGTTCATAAATGCATAGTACACTTTGTACACTATTTTTGAGTCCACTCATCCCCCTCTACATGGATGTCTTGGCCTCTCTCTTTTCCCTTGACCCTCCTGTTTGACAAGTAGCTACTTATTTTTTAAGACCCAGTTCAAATTTCTTCATTTTCCTCTTCTAGCTTCACCCTGTGTCTGGTTAGATTGTCTATCCTCCTTTCTGTCCTCAGCATAATCTGTAAGCCTGGCTTCTATTCTAGCACCACCTACTTACTCATTCACATGTCTATCTTCCATAGGCTACAAAACAAGATGCCTGAGTGAGGGACCACTGATTTGTGTATCCTAGGACTGGCACAACATCTGGCATGCAAATGAATAAATCATATATAGGCCAGGACATTGCTTATACCATTTCCATTCTTACCAATTCATACAACAGGTTATCAGTCATATTACAAGTGACATAAATACTACCTTTTTATTGATAAGAAATCACTATTCCTGTCACGAATATCTGTAATTTTTAAGAACTTGGATAAAATAAAAAGTTAGATGTTAAATATTAACTGTAAATGTTATTCTTCTTTAAGTGTTTCATAAGTTTGCCATAGAATAAACATTCCAATACAATCTGAATTTTAGTATCTGTTTTA